CACTAAGTAGTCTCTGTCCCACACAGAGTAGTCTCTGTCCCACACAGAGTAGTCTCTGTCCAACACCAAAGAGTCTCTGTCCCACACTAAGTAGTCTCTGTCCAACACCGAAGAGTCTCTGTCCCACACTAAGTAGTCTCTGTCCAACACCAAGTGGTCTCTGTCCCAAACAGGGTAGTCCCTGTTCCACACTAAGAAGTCTCTGTCCCACACTAAGTAGTCTCTGTCCCACACAGAGTAGTCTCTATCCCACACCAAGTGATCTCTGTCCCACACCAAGTGGTCTCTGTCCCACACTAAGTGGTCTCTGTCCCACACAGTGTAGTCTCTGTCCTACACTAATTAATCTCTGTCCCAAACTAAGTAGTCTCTGTCCCACACAGAAGAGTCTCTGTCCCACATGGAGTAGTCTTTGTCCCACACAGAGGAGTCTTTGTCCCACACAGAGGAGTCTCTGTCCCACACCAAGTGGTCTCTGTCCCACACTAAGTAGTCTCTGTCCCAAACTAAATAGTCTCTGTCCCAAACTAAATAGTCTCTGTCCCACACAGAGTAGTCTCTGTCCCACACAGAGTAGTCTCTGTCCCACACAGAGTTGTCTCTATCCCACACAGAGCTGTCTCTATCCCACACAGAGTTGTCTCTATCCCACACAGAGTTGTCTCTATCCCACACAGAGTAGTCTCTTTCCCACACAGAGTAGTCTCTTTCCCACACAGAGTAGTCTCTGTCCCACACAGAAGAGTCTCTGTCCCACACAGAGTGGTCTCTGTCCCACACCAAGTAGTCTCTATCCCACACCAAGTGGTCTCTGTCCCACACAGTGTAGTCTCTGTCCCACACTAAGAAGTCTCTGTCCCAAACTAAGTAGTCTCTGTCCCACACGGAGTAGTCTCTGTCCCACACGGAGTAGTCTCTGTCCCACACGAAGTAGTCTCTGTCCCACACCAAGTGGTCTCTGTCCCACACCAAGTGGTCTCTGTCCCACACAGGGTGGTCTCTGTCCCACACAGGGTGGTCTCTGTCCCACACAGTGTAGTCTCTGTCCCACACCAAGTAGTCTCTGTCCAACACCGAGTGGTCTCTGTCCCAAACGGAGTAGTCTCTGTCCCACACAGAAGAGTCTCTGTCCCACACAGAGTTGTCTCTGTCCCACACAGAGTAGTCTCTGTCCCACACAGAGTAGTCTCTATCCCACACCAAGTGGTCTCTATCCTACACGGTGTAGTCTCTGTCCCACACTAAGTAGTCTCTGTCCCACACAGAGGAGTCTCTGTCCCACACAGAGGAGTCTCTGTCCCACACAGAGGAGTCTCTGTCCCACACAGAGGAGTCTCTGTCCCACACCAAGTGGTCTCTGTCTCACACCAAGTCGTCTCTGTCCCACACAGTGTAGTCTCTGTCCCACACTTAGTAGTCTCTGTCACAAACTAAGTAGTCTCTGTCCCAAACTAAGTAGTCTCTGTCCCACACAGTGCAGTCTCTGTCCCACACAGAGTTGTCTCTATCCCACACCGAGTTGTCTCTGTCCCACACCGAGTTGTCTCTGTCCCACACCGAGTTGTCTCTGTCCCACACAGAGTTGTCTCTGTCCCACACCAAGTAGTCTCTGTCCAACACCGAGTGGTCTCTGTCCCAAACGGAGTAGTCTCTGTCCCACACAGAGTGGTCTCTGTCCCACACAGAGTAGTCTCTGTCCCACACAGAGTAGTCTCTATCCCACACCAAGTGGTCTCTATCCTACACGGTGTAGTCTCTGTCCCACACTAAGTAGTCTCTGTCCCACACAGAGGAGTCTCTGTCCCAAACAGAGGAGTCTCTGTCCCACACCAACTGGTCTCTGTCTCACACCAAGTCGTCTCTGTCCCACACAGTGTAGTCTCTGTCCCACACTTAGTAGTCTCTGTCACAAACTAAGTAGTCTCTGTCCCAAACTAAGTAGTCTCTGTCCCACACAGAGTAGTCTCTGTCCCACACCGAGTAGTCTCTGTCCCACACCGAGTTGTCTCTGTCCCACACCGAGTTGTCTCTGTCCCACACCGAGTTGTCTCTGTCCCACACAGAGTTGTCTCTGTCCCACACAGAGTTGTCTCTGTCCCACATAGAGTAGTCTCTGTCCCACACTAAGTAGTCTCTGTCCCACACAGAGTAATCTCTGTCCCACACAGAGTAGTCTCTGTCCAACACCAAAGAGTCTCTGTCCCACACTAAGTAGTCTCTGTCCAACACCGAAGAGTCTCTGTCCCACACTAAGGAGTCTCTGTCCAACACCAAGTGGTCTCTGTCCCAAACAGGGTAGTCCCTTTTCCACACTAAGTAGTCTCTGTCCCACACTAAGTAGTCTCTGTCCCAAACAGACTAGTCTCTGTCCCACACAGAGTGGTCTCGGTCCCACACAGAGTAGTCTCTATCCCACACCAAGTGGTCTCTGACCCACACAAAGTGGTCTCTGTCCCACACAGTGTAGTCTCTGTCCTACACTAATTAATCTCTGTCCCAAACTAAGTAGTCTCTGTCCCACACAGAAGAGTCTTTGTCCCACACCAAGTGGTCTCTGTCCCACACTAAGTAGTCTCTGTCCCAAACTAAGTAGTCTCTGTCCCAAACTAAATAGTCTCTGTCCCACACAGAGTAGTCTCTGTCCCACACAGAGTTGTCTCTATCCCACACAGAGTTGTCTCTATCCCACACAGAGTTGTCTCTGTCCCACACAGAGTAGTCTCTGTCCCACACAGAAGAGTCTCTGTCCCACATAGAGTAGTCTCTATCCCACACCAAGTGGTCTCTGTCCCACACAGTGTAGTCTCTGTCCCACACCAAGTTGTCTCTGTCCCAAACTAAGTAGTCTCTGTCCCAAACCAAGTAGTCTCTGTCCCACACCAAGTGGTCTCTGTCCCACACAGGGTGGTCTCTGTCCCACACAGTGTAGTTTCTGTCCCACACCAAGTAGTCTCTGTCCAACCCCTAGTGGTCTCTGTCCCAAACATAGTCTCTGTCCCACACAGAAGAGTCTCTGTCCCACACAGAGTGGTCTCTGTCCCACACAGAGTAGTCTCTGTCCCACACAGAGTTGTCTCTGTCCCACACAGAGTTGTCTCTATCCCACACAGAGTTGTCTCTATCCCACACAGAGTTGTCTCTGTGCCACACAGAGTAGTCTCTGTCCCACACAGAAGAGTCTCTGTCCCACACAGAGTGGTCTCTGTCCCACATAGAGTAGTCTCTATCCCACACCAAGTGGTCTCTGTCCCACACAGTGTAGTCTCTGTCCCACACCAAGTAGTCTCTGTCCCAAACTAAGTAGTCTCTGTCCCACACCAAGTGGTCTCTGTCCCACACAGGCTGGTCTCTGTCCCAAACAGTGTAGTCTCTGTCCCACACCAAGTAGTCTCTGTCCAACCCCTAGTGGTCTCTGTCCCAAACAGAGTAGTCTCTGTCCCACACAGAAGAGTCTCTGTCCCACACAGAGTGGTCTCTATCCCACACAGAGTTGTCTCTATCCCACACAGAGTTGTCTCTGTCCCACACAGAGTAGTCTCTGTCCCACACAGAAGAGTCTCTGTCCCACACAGAGTGGTATCTGTCCCACATAGAGTAGTCTCTATCCCACACCAAGTGGTCTCTGTCCCACACAGTGTAGTCTCTGTCCCACACCAAGTAGTCTCTGTCCCAAACTAAGTAGTCTCTGTCCCAAACCAAGTAGTCTCTGTCCCACACCAAGTGGTCTCTGTCCCACACAGGGTGGTCTCTGTCCCACACAGGGTGGTCTCTGTCCCACACAGTGTAGTCTCTGTCCCACACCAAGTAGTCTCTGTCCAACCCCTAGTGGTCTCTGTCCCAAACAGAGTATTCTCTGTCCCACACAGAAGAGTCTCTGTCCCACACAGAGTGGTCTCTGTCCCACACAGAGTAGTCTCTGTCCCACACAGAGTAGTCTCTATCCCACACCAAGAGGTCTCTATCCTACACGGTGTAGTCTCTGTCCCACACTAAGTAGTCTCTGTCCCACACAGAGGAGTCTCTGTCCCACACAGAGGAGTCTCTGTCCCATACCAAGTGGTCTCTGTCTCACACCAAGTCGTCTCTGTCCCACACAGTGTAGTCTCTGTCCCACACAGTGTAGTCTCTGTCCCACACAGTGTAGTCTCTGTCCCACACTTAGTAGTCTCTGTCCCACACTTAGTAGTCTCTGTCCCAAACTAAGTAGTCTCTGTCCCACACCGAGTAGTCTCTGTCCCACACCGAGAAGTCTCTGTCCCACACCGAGTAGTCTCTATCCCACACCGAGAAGTCTCTGTCCCACACCGAGAAGTCTCTGTCCCACACCGAGTAGTCTCTGTCCCACACCGAGTAGTCTCTATCCCACACCGAGAAGTCTCTGTCCCACACCGAGTAGTCTCTGTCCCACACCGAGCAGTCTCTGTCCCACACCCAGTAGTCTCTGTCCCACACCGAGTTGTCTCTGTCCCACACAGAGTAGTCTCTGTCCCACACAGAGTAGTCTCTGTCCCACATAGAGTAATCTCTGTCCCACACTAAGTAGTCTCTGTCCCACACTAAGTAGTCTCTGTCCCACACCGAGTAGTCTCTGTCCCACACCGAGTAGTCTCTGTCCCACACTAAGTAGTCTCTGTCCCACACCGAGTTGTCTCTGTCCCACACAGAGTAGTCTCTGTCCCACACAGAGTAGTCTCTGTCCCACATAGAGTAGTCTCTGTCCCACATAGAGTAGTCTCTGTCCCACACTAAGTAGTCTCTGTCCCACACTAAGTAGTCTCTGTCCCACACTAAGTAGTCTCTGTCCCACACAGAGCGGTCTCTGTTCCACCTTTGGTGAGCTGGGATCTGCTCACCAGAGCATAACCCCTGAACCCTGTGAGAATCTCCACTGAATGGTGAAGTAAAGAGGAGTTCCAGCAGAAATGTGAGAAAGTCATGTTTGTTTACTTCTTTTACTAAAAAATCAGTTGGTTGTCATCAAAGCCGTGGACGTTACTCACCGACCACACGTCCCAGGGTACCGCGGTCTGGAACAAATAGAGAGCATGCTGGTAACAGCAGATACATGATCCACACAAAAATCTAACTCTTGAATCACTGAAACATCTCATCTTCTCAAGACATATATAACTGTTCATGGATCAAACCAAGGAGCTTAAAGTAGACATCTTTATGTTTATATGATGTTGTGAGGAGCACCTGAGGTATCGGTGAAACGCTGTCATCTGGCTGGAATGCATCGAAGTCCAGATCCAGGAGAGATTCTCCTGGTCGTTCGTTGGGCTGTAGACACCATGGAAATTGGTCAACCAGTGATAATGACGTTCACATCAGCTGTGTCTGTTTTCCTACCAGTGATGGAGACGGAGCAGGGAGGAACTCTCCACCAAACAGGTCGATGATCTGGTCCTCTGCCACCTCCTTGGTGGGTGTGACTTTAGGTGGAGGAGGGACTGGTGGACCCTTTTTAAGCTGTCAAAAACACAAACGTTGGTTAGCAGGGAAGCTGAGATCAGACTGAACCCACCAGCAGGTACTAGGTGGACTAGAGGATGTCTGAAGAGCAGCAGGAACAAAAATAAGTAAGAGTTAACCCTAACCCAGACCGATGGCCTCCATGCTGCACTGATGTAGTAACTGGTGCAACAGGAATCCCTGGTACTGATCTACTGTAATACTGTCTACGACTCTGATTAATAATGAACTTTTACACAAGCTTCACTTTCTGCAATGAGTGACAACAAGAAGCACTTTCCCATGAAGTAAAGTTCAGAGCTGTTCTCTCACATCAGCGTTGGCGTTAACGTCCGTCAGGATTAACGAGGGGTCACATCATGTTGTCATTTATCTTAAATACCAGTTATGTTAATCAGCCTGAACTTGTACCTGGAAATGAAATGGTCTGTTCCAGTGAAACTCCGCCCACGCCCGCTCTGACAAAATGCACCAACTACAGCGTCTTACTAGTCCAGTGGCCAAAGCGTCTCCCTGTCATCTAGCTTTGCCTCGTCCTGATGCCGGTTTGACCCCAGTAGGGTCAGCATTCATTTATGTAGCCAGATGAAGCAGCTTCATTTTCTCTAATTTAGTTTTATTGATAATTTCCTGCTAAATATTTAGTGTCTCTAAAGACGTTTGAATTTGGTCGTTTCCAAGATCTACTCTGCTTACCTCACATGGACTCACACTGGCTACATAAACAAAGCAAGTAAAAAACACACTAGTCCTTATGTTTAAAACAATTTACCGATAAACGGTTGAAAACTGGCAAGGGCAGCTAAAAAAGAAGAAAGGCCTGATGATGAACTTAAGCTACTTTTGTTCGTTTGCAGGCAGAAACTTTCTGCAGCTGAGACAGGAAAAGGCATGAATGGAGCCAAAAAGGGTTGTGGGTATTTCTCATGAGGAAACCAGGAATCTCCTGGTACCAAGTGGGTTTTCTACCACCTGGAAGCTTTAATTCTTCTGCATCCCAGATGAAACTAAATATCACGTCGATGTTAGAACATGTCTCATTATTAACTACAAGTAGATGCTTGGATTCAAACACTGAGGGATCATTTGAAAGTTTAGATTTAAGATTGTGGTTTAAACATGTCTAAAACTATAAAACTGGACATCATCTACAGCTGAAACTACAAACTACGTTCATGAGGACGGATGAGAACATCGAGACAGTTTATGAACCTTTAACTGGTGAAATGGTGAAAGCAGCTGGTGAAATGTGAGGCTTTGATTGAAATGAAACCGTTCCACTGACCACAGACTGAACTGGAGTAGGGCTTCTCAGGCTGCTCTTTGCTGGAACTAGGGCTGGACAACATAGCCATAAAAAATTCATGAAGGTCAATAAATAATTATAGAAAGATATTTTAATACTGATCCTTAATTAAGTGTTTTCAACCAAGAGCACAGCAAAACTGAATTAAGCTGAATCCTTTATTAACGACACCTGAACACAGGTGATGACTGAGTTGGGAGCGTTTTATTTGGACGATCTCACCGAGGTAGGCCACTTTCACTAAAACACCGCTCTAGCACTGAACTCTGACACAATTACCGTGACTCTGCATCGCTTTGGACCATCAGAGTTCATTCCGTCTTTAAGAGAAGTTGTAACACGCAGTAGTATTATCTGGGTAAATCCCGTTCTGCTGCTGCAGAATCGGTCTGGTCTCACTCAGGCTGAAGAGTTAGCGGCAGATGCCACAGCCATTAAAGCTGTAAACGCTGAGCCTCTGTAAAACACATGAAACTACAGTGTCCCAGGAGCAGGAGTGTCATCATGAAGCTTTCCTCACCTTCCTAACCTGACTTACCCCCAACCCTCACCCATTGTGCTCTGCAGATCTGTGCGGTGAAGAATTGATTGAACTACTTTAATCTTTTTTCGTGACAATATCCTCCATCTGTCGTATAAATTACAGCCCTCTGTTTAGGTTGGAGAGTGGAGGGGCTGGGTCTGTGTTTTGATTGGTTAGTCAGTATAGAGCTATCTACCCATTTTTACTGTCACACCTCACATCGTTGTTCCTCTAAGATTGCAGAAGTAGATTGTCCAGCTGTGATCAGCGTCATCATTTCATTAAACCTCATTAACACCTGATTCACATTCACAGAACCATCACAGGAACTGACTCTGGTACGAGAATGCTAAAGAAACAAGCAGGTGTGTTGATACAGACGTACGTCAACAAGACAACACAGATTTACGTTTTCATGTTGACTCACCGAGAAACAGAGAAAAGAGAGCAGAAAGGAAACAGAGAGTTACTGAGGAGGTCAGCTCATTAACATCCATCATCCATCACTCATCCATCCATCATTTATCCATCCATCCATCCATCATCCATCACTCATCCATCCATCATTTATCCATCCATCCATCCATCATCCATCACTCATCCATCCATCATTTATCCATCCATCCATCCATCCATCATCCATCACTCATCCATCCATCATTTATCCATCCATCCATCATCCATCCATCCATCACTCATCCATCCATCCATCCATCCATCATCCATCCATCCATCACTCATCCATCCATCATCCATAATCCATCAAGTGTCATTCATCATACATCCATCCATCCCTCATCCACCCATCCATCATCCATCCATCATTCATCCATCATTAAACATCCAGCACTCATTCATCCATCAGTCATCCATCCATCATCCATTACTCATCCATCCATCATCCATCACTCATCCATCCATCCATCACTCATCCATCCATCCATCATACATCCATCATCCACAAATCAATCCATCCATCATCATTCATCCATCATCCATCCATCCATCCTTCCATCCATCATTTATCCATCATCATTCATCCATCCATCATACATCATTCATCACACATCCATCACTCATCCATCCATCCTCCATCCATCCATCCATCCATCCATCCTTCCATCCATCATTTATCCATCATCATTCATCCATCCATCATACATCATTCATCACACATCCATCACTCATTCATCCATCACTCATCCATCCTCCATCCATCACTCATCCGTCCATCACTCATCCGTCCATCACTCATCCATCCATCACTCATTCATCCATCACTCATCCGTCCATCACTCATCCGTCCATCATACATCATCCATCAAAAATCCATCACTCAAACATCCATCACTCATCCATCATCCATCCATCCATCATACATCATTCATCACACATCCATCACTCATTCATCCATCACTCATCCATCCATCCTCCATCCATCCATCCATCCATCCATCCATCACTCATCCATCATCCATCATCACTCATCCATCATCCATCCATCCATCACTCATCCATCCATCCATCCATCCATCATCATCTATCATTCATCCACCCATCATCCATAATCCATCAAGCATCATTCATCATCCATCCATCATCCATCCATCCATCATCCATCCATCATCCATCCATCCATCACTCATCCATCCATCATCCATCATCATACATCCATCACTCATTCATCCATCAGTCATCCATTACTCATCCATCCATCATCCATCATACAGGTCCTTCTAAAAAAATTAGCATATTGCAATAAAGTTCATAATTTTCTGTAATGTACTGATAAACATTAGACATTCATATATATTAGATTCATTACACACAACTGAAGTAGTTAAAGCCTTATTGTTTCTAATATTGATGATTTTGGCACACAGCTCATGAAAACCCAAAATTCCTATCTTATTCCTATCACGGCACAATTTGCCGTGTGACATTGTCCCTGAACATCCACTGCCCCCCCCCCCCCCCCCCCCAACACACACACACACACCCCTCCTCCCACTGTGAGAGGAGAATGTGGCTGGGGGCCACAGCCTCCATCAGTCAAGCAACCAACAATTAAAATGTAACTGATGAGTTTCCTCAGAAGCTCCTGGAATCAACGACATCATTTATCTGATGGAGGCTGACTCTCCTGGGTTCTGCTTTACCTGGATGGGGGATTTGGGCCGTGGTGGGCCTGGAGAAACAGGGCGGAGCATGTGGTTGGAACCAGCTTCAGGACTTTCAGGAGGACTCTCATCTTCTGGTGGTGATGGAGTTCTGGCAAGACGCAGCGGTCCAGAATCACTGAGGAACCAGACAGAAATGATCAGCTGTTATAGTGATGCAAACCCAAACCCAGTCCAGGGTTCTAGTGAAACCCATCATTCCATCCCGACTGGTTCTGGTACATCACCCAAGGTCAGAACATTCAGGTGTGAATTCAGAACCAAGCCCGACTGGGATCGAACAGACCGCTCATGGCTGGTTCTGGTTCTGAGCGGTGAGAGCTGGGATTACCTCGGGGCTCCTTGGATGGTGAATATTTTGTCTGAGTGTTGTTCTCTCAGCTTGGTCATGACCTCATACAGCTCCTTACACACCTGGAAGGTAAAACGCAACCGCCGTTTATTTCATCTGGAGAATTTAACACTGGCTACAGACTCAGGATGAATGAATGAATGAATGAATGAATGAATGAATGAATGAATGAATGAAAGGATGGATGGATGGATGGATGGATGGATGGACTAAATTATTAATTAATCCATTAATTAAGTGACCTGTGAGATCTCACGATGAAACTTGGCCTCGAGACTGGTCACAATTTTGAAGGTGCTGATGTAGAAGTCCACTCGGCTGCAGACGAGAGCAGAGAACAGGTATGTGTGAGATGAGCTCCAGCGTGGTCGTGTTTGATACACGCTTCACGTAAACATGTGACTTTAGCAGCGGGCGAGTTGCTGCTGGGAACAGTGGCGAGTTAGGGTGTGGGTGAGTCAGGACACTCCCATAGACTTAAATAAACGAGTGGAATTTGGACCTTCGACCTCCGACCTTCAGATAGTTCCACATTGAGTGCTGTTCATTTTCTGTGTGTAAGGTTAGGGTTAGCGTTAGCCACTTTTAGTTCATTTATCCGGCCGGTCGCAGTTTTACCTGCAGCTGGCTTGCTGTTAGCGGCTGTTATTTCTGGCTGATTCAGCTTTTTCATTTATTCAAAGCAGTTTTAAATATTTACAGCTGAGTAAATTAGATTAGATGTGAGATTAGCTATCCGAATAAAATTATATTAAGGTCATCAGGAGTTCATCACGTACCAAAGCTAATGCTAGCACATAGCATCTATCCTGAGGTTTCCTGTAGATTCTGTATGAATGTAAGAACTTTTATACGATCACTGGTATTAAAATTAAAGGTAAAGGAAAACCCTACAAACACACCACTCACCTGTACAGGTGCTGGAGCGTTGGCGGGGGGGGGGGGGGGGGGGGGGGGGGGCTTGCTGTGGTGCTAGAAGCTGTTTTTGTCTCTTCCTTCTAACACGCCCATCATCAGTCAGCTTATAGATCTGTTTAGCTGTAGTTCCTAATCTGCTGCTGGTTTTATTTTACACATCATTACATGAAGGCTGCAGCTTCTCTCTAGAACATCCACCAAATCTGGGAGCTCCATGAAAGCAGCAGCATACACCTGGTTCCAGCTGAAGGTGTTGTGGTTTTCTGTGGTGGGTTCTGATGTCACAGAGAGGGATCCTCATGTCCTGAAGAAGTCTGGAGCCTGCTGAGCTACTGCAGCAGAGGTCCTTTCTGGGGTCTCATGAGACTAAAACATGTGGATGTCTGACTGAAGATGTTTGTGCAGGTCAGACTAATCACAGTTTTCTGTTGTCCTGATCTCTAAATAAATGAAACATGTTTGTTTGGTTTAGCAGAATTCACTCATCTGCTACGTTTTTAACCAGAAACTGTTTTATTTACATGAACATATAATCAGTTACTATCTCCACCGGTTGTTAGGCTGGAAGCTCCATCAGCAGGTTAGCGATACATCTGCAGCCACATATTAAATGAGTTCAGATCAGCTGATGTTCCACCTGACAGCAGGAACATCTGCTGCTTTGTAGACCTGCAGGTAAGCAGCAGCAGAGCTCTGAAGCTCTGGCACATTTAGGTCTATATCAGGACAAAAGTATAGCATCTATGCTAGCACGCAGACAGCAGAAGCTCTTTAATGATAAACCATTTCCTCACACTGATGCATGTTTTACACAAACACTTCTTTTATACAGGTATCCGTGTGAGCTAAATCTGACCCTGCATGCGTGCTACGTTCTGCCCTCTAGGACACAAACCTGATAAATGTCGGTCCTGCAGCTCCACAAGCTAAACACTTTCATAAAATACATAATCAGTGTAATAATCAAGACACATTATTTGTCAATAATCAGCAAGAAATGGCTGTAGAAATGAGAAAGGGTCATTTTAGCTGAGCTGTTCTGGACTACAGGCGTGTCGGCGAGTTCAGAGAGTCACAACTTTCTCCCTCAGGCTTTGGGTGGGGCTAGCGGGGTCAGGGTCAGGTGGGGGTCTGCTGGGTTACCTTCATAGGAATCTTTGAACTGGGTGAGTTAATGAACTGAACTCAACTGGAATGTTTACTCTGGTTCCAAACAGGGACCACAAGACCCCTCATGAAGCTCCGTGGTGGTTTACAGGTGCAGTGCTGACCAAGTACTGCTCCATCTACCTGGCTGAGCTGCATCTACATCTCCATGGCAATGCTGGAATGGGTTTGTGATCAGACTCACCAATCCCAAAGAGTTGGCAGCTCATCCTGCAGACCAACGTCCAGCTCATCAAACACTTTCTGTGCCTTTTTCAGCTCTTCTTCTGCCTGCACACAGATTCTGCTGGGTCAGCTCAACACGGGATGTGTGGAACATCTGAGCAGCTGTGCCCTGCTTTCTGACTCACCTTAATCATCTTCCTGTCGTTTTTCATCCCAGCTGCCTGCAGAGTTTCTAAATGATGGCGAGCGCTGTCATAGTCGATGAGTTTCCGACTCCTTTTGGCCACGCGCATCTGAAACAGAACATGGTCACATGGTCAGGTTTCTGTTGGTCGGGCTTGTCGTGTGACAGGCACCTAGGGTTTAGTTCCTGGTTGTGACCCTCAGGGCCAGCACTATGTCCATCGCTGATCAAAAATTATCTGACCCACATGCACGCACGCGCACACACACACACACACACTCACACACACACACACACACACACACACTTTTTCTTTGTTCATGTGCTTTAATAAAGTGTTCAACTGGCCATCTTTGTAAGTGCATTTTATTGTGCTCAAAGGACTTTAACAGAGCACATTTTAGAAAATATGACATCACACAAAAACTACAAAGTGAGCAAAAAATATTTTTATGCCTATTTGTGACACTCCAAGGCTGTGACAACTTACCCACAAAAAAGGTCATCTGGACATAACACACAAAAATGATTTGATTTTTTTTTTTTCATTTTTTGTACAGTTTTCAAACTTCTGGTTTTGATAATAAACCTGGTAATAAAGGGGTTAATATGAGAAACACACATATTTTATTATATTTTGTTAGGGCTGAAGCCAAGGATGAAATTCATGTAAAAAAGTTGGGACTTATGAAATATTATATAATATTTCTATAGGAAGCTTTGTAAGTGCATTTATTTTGTGCTCAAAGGACTTTAACGTTAGAAAATTTAAATGTTGGGTAAGGGTTAAATCAAATCACTTTGTTGCTTTAACAGAATCCGTGTTTCACCTTAAGGTCTGGAAACTGCAGCAGGTATGCGTCCAGGTTCAGCAGCGTGGAATCCACCAGTTTGTTATGAAAGTCTTCCCACAATGCATCACAGTCCTGCAGAGAGCAAACATCTGCTTCAGGGCTTTCCTAATCATCATCAAACTTTATTAACAGACATGGTGTCCAGAAACAAAAACAAAAGAAAGAAAGAAAGAAAGAAAGAAAGAAAGAAAGAAAGAAAGAAAGAAAGAAAGAAAGAAAGAAAGAAAGAAAGAAAGAAAGAAAGAAAGAAAGAAAGAAAGAAAGAAAGAAAGAAAGAAAGAAAGAAAGAAAGAAAGAAAGAAAGAAAGAAAGAAAGAAAGAAAGAAAGAAAGAAAGAAAAGGACATCATTACACACTTACAAGCAACTGTACCACGATGCCACAGTATTGACCAGTAGCAGGTAGCAATGCCTCCGATATTAGTCAAAATCAAAATAATTACATTCCCACATTGGTTGAGCCGGCAGATAAACCTGTGCATTAAGTTTCTCAAAACTTTATGCAATGTTTTTATACCAGCAGCAAAAGACCAATGGCCTGCACCATCCCATGGTGGTCTTTTAGCAGAGATCTAAGACAATCATTAAATGCAAAATTGAGTTTCCTTAACTCAGAAGAACCCCTGAAGGACTTAGTTGTTTGTCCTTAACCAAAACTTATATGGAGCCTGAGAGGGCAAAAAACCCAAGTTTGGACTCATCTCAGCCTAAAAACTACAGCCCCATTTCTAAATTCAATTCAATTGAAGTTTATTTATATAACGACAAATCACGACAAGAGTTGTCTCAAGGCACTTCACATAATAAACATTCCAATACAGGTCAATTCATTAAGTCAATCTGAAAAAAGTTTCCCATATAAAGAACCCAGCAAATTTACAGCAATCCTCATACTAAGCAAGCATGCAGCGACAGTGAAGAGGAAAACTCCCTTTTAACAGGAAGACACCTCCAGAGGATCCTGGCTCAGTATAAGCAGCCATCCACCACGACTCACTGGGGATCAACAAGACAGAGCACACGCACGCACGCACGCACACACACACACACACACACACACACACACACACACACACACACACACACACACACACACACACACACACCAAGCTGTGTTTCTATGGTTACATTGTGACTTCTTAGTAAATATTGTATTTGGTGAGAGATAAACTTTATTTTATGTATCCTAGTGAATCTATAATTAAACGGGTAAACTAGTAGTAGCACATTTAATGTCAAGGAAAGTAAATTGTTATTATCAGGAGAGGGAGAATGATTAAATGGTTAGCAACAGTGTTCAAGGCGATGGCCCCCTCCTTGAGGCCACCACAGCTCAGCATAACATCATTGTAGCTTCTTCTGGGGAGAAAAACGCTTAAAAAATAAAGTTAACAGCTGAAATTGCAGGAAATAATACAGTTGAAGAGCAGATTGTAGAAGAAAGTAGCAGAATGTGGAAAGTGGTCAGTGTATCCTCCAGCAGTCTAAGCCTATAGCAGCATAACTACAGAGATAACTCTGGATAACCTAGCCTTTTAGATGGAGGCATGTTGGAGGCAGGGCAAGAGAGAGCTGTCTTTACCGACTGAACACTCCACCTCCCTCTACTCCCTCACTTGTCCAGATCTAGGCTAAAATCAGATTTTAACCATAGGCCCTATCAAATAAAAATGTTTTAAGCCTAGTCTTAAAAGTAGACAAAGTGTCTGCCTCAATGACTAAAGTTGGGAGTTGGTTCCACAAGAGAGGAGCCTGATAACTAAAACATCTGCCTCCCATCCTATTTTTAGACATACTGGGAACCACAAGTAAACCTGCAGTCTGAGAGCGAAGTGTTTAGTTAGGAACGTATGGAACAATCAGGTCACTGATGTATGATGGAGCTTGATTATTAAGAGCTTTATATGTGAGAAGGAGGATCTTAAAATCTATTCTGAATTTAACAGGTAGCCAATGTAGGGAAGCTAAGACAGGAGAGATATGATCTCTCTTTTTAGTTCTAATCAGAACTCTAGCTGCAGCATTTTGGACAAGCTGAAGACTTTTAACTACATTCTGTGGACTTCCTGAGAGTAATGAATTACAGTAATCCAGTCTTGATGTAATAAATGCATGAACTAGTTTTTCAGCATCACTCCTGGAAAGGATCCTTCTAATCTTAGCAATATTCCGAAGGTGGAAAAAGGAAATCCTACAAACCTGTTTAACGTGGGATTTGAATGACATGTCCTGGTCAAAGATAACACTAAGGTTCCTTACTTTGTTCTCGGAGACAAATTTAATGCCATTCAGGTCAGGTGATTGACTAAGCAATTTCCTTTTCTGAATTTCTGGTCCAAAGATGAGAACTTCAGTCTTGTCTTGATTTAAAAGCTAAATGTTTTGAGTCATCCAATTTTTTATGTCTTCAAGACAAGCCTGTAATCTAACTAACCGATTAAGTTCATCAGGGTTAATGGATAGATATAACTGAGTATCGTCAGCATAACAGTGGAAGTTTATCCCATGCGGTCTAATGATTTTACCAATTGGGAGCATATATATAGTGAAAAGAATTGGTCCAAGCACTGAACCCTGTGGTACTCCACAAGTAACCCTGGAGTATGAAGAAGATTTGTCATGTACGTTTACAAAATTATATAACAGACAGGTAGGATTTAAACCAGCCTAGCACTGTTCCTTTGATCCCTACAACATGTTCAAGCCTTTCTAAAAGAACATTGTGATCAACTGTGTCAAAGGCAGCACTGAGATCTAACAAGACTAGAACGGACACAAGATTCTTATCTGAGGCCATGAGAATATCATTTGTAACTCTCACTAATGCAGTTTCAGTGCTGTGATACTCTCTAAAGCCAGACTGAAATTCCTCAAACAGATCATTAGTGTTTAAATGCTCATATATTTGGATGGCCAATATTTTCTCAAGGACTTTGTATAAAAATGGAAGGTTAGATATTGGTCTATAATTCATTGGGTCATCCAGAGAAGGCTTCTTAAGTGAAGGTTTGATTACAGCAACCTTAATATCCTGTGGTACATATCCATTTACAAAGAATAGATTGATTATATCTAGAATGGGGGCAGTAACCAAAGGAAATGCATCTTTAAATAATTTGGTTGGGATTGGATCTAAAATGCAAGTTGAAGGTTTAGATGAAGCTAATACTTTTGATAACTCTGAAAGCTCAACTGGATCAAAACGGTTCAAACACAGATGAGGTTCTACAGTTACCTCAGATTCTGCCTCACTTACTGAGGAAGAAGAAATCACATTAGGGAGGATGCTAATGATTTTGTTTCTAATAGAATTAATTTTACTTGTGAAAAATCCCATGAAGTCGTTGCTGCTGAGGGCTAAGGGAATAGATGGCTCAGAGCTATGATTCTGTGTAAGTTTGGCAACTGTACTGAAAATAAATTTTGGATTATTCTTATTCTCTTCAATTAGCGATGAAAAATAAGCAGTTCTAGCTTGTTGAATCTTATTTTTTACAAAGCACAAGACTATTTTTCCAGGATAAGTAGGGCTCCTCCTGGTATGTAGGACGCCATGTTCTCTCCAATTTTCTAGAGTTTTATTTTAAAGTTCATAAATGAGAATTAAACCAGGGAGCCAACTTCCTGTCCCTATTTACCTTTTTTTAAAGGGGCAACATCATCTAATGCCACACGTAAAGAGGAAGTAACATTATGAATTAAGCATCAATTTGTGAAGGGCTAGAAATAAAAATATTGCCCTCTGCTACATTCCTCTGAGATGCTGAAGATAGTAAAGATGGAACAGTTGATTTAAAAGATGCAACAGCATTGTCAGATAGAGACAGACTATAGTGAAATCTACTTTCATGTCTCGAGAACTCAATTATAAAAAACTCAAAGGTTATCAAAAAGTGGTCCGAGAGGACTGGATTAAGGGGAAATATCGTTATTTCCTCACACTCTATGCCATAAGTCAGCACAAGGTCCAATGTATGATGGCAGGAGTGGGTGGAGCTATGTATTCTTTGAGTAAAACCAATTGAGTCTAGGGTATTACTAAAGGCTAAATTGAGGCTATCATTTTCTATGTCCACATGTATATTAAAATCCCCCACTATAATGACCTTATCAGTATTTAGCACCAAATCAGATAAAAAATCAGAGATCTGATCCAAAAACTCAGAGTAAGGGCCTGGTGGATGATACAAAACTACAAACGAATGGTTTTACAGTTTTGCAATCTGGATTAGGAAAACTAAGAACAAGATATTTAAAAGAACTGTAACTATTCATTGGTAAGGGATTGAGTAATAGGTCTGAATGGAAAATGGTTGCTACTCCTCCTCCTTGCCCTATACTTCCAGCAATATGATGATTTAAATAATTAGAAGGAGTTGACTCATTTAAACTAATAGTCCTCTTGCTGCAGCCAGGATTCTGTGAGAGAGAGCAAAGAAATCCGATTATCCAGATTTATCCCGGTGACGGCCTGGTGGGGTCTGGGTCCCTGGGCTCTGCTGGGTCCCCGGCGGGGACAGTCGCCCCTGGGTCCCGGGTCGCTGGGTCCCGGCCTCGGCCAGCTAGGGGGTGGGAGGCTGCAGGTGGGCCAGAGGGCTTGCCGCTGATGTGTCCCGGGACTCTGCCGGCTGCTGGTGGTGGCCCCCCGGGGCGATCCTCTGTGCCTCTCGAGGGGGGCGGGGGCCTTTCTGGTTGCAGTCTCCTTGGGGTTCCTGTGTTCTGAGGCAGCGCCTGGATCTCTGGGACTTGGAGCTCCCCCATCTCCTACGCATTTTTGGAGGGCAGATCTGTGGTCTCTCACACTCTCTATTGGACGCTCCTATAGATAAACCTTACATAAACAAGCACTTGTACACACAGGTGCTCACACGGTGCTCTCAAAAGTATGGGCTTGGGCACGTTCAACACAGGTCTTAAGACTATGGTGGACACTTAATGCACTGTGATTTATTATCGTGTGACTGTTCAGTTAAGCAATACTGATTATATATTTCTTCATCAAGTTGACTCAGTGATAGCTTGATCTTGTATTGTTGTTGTGTCCCTTTTTTTTGTTGCTTTTTTTCTTGTCTC